GCCCACATGCAATGGCCAGTCATTCATGTACAGCGTTCAGATAAATAACCACAGTTTTTGGTTTGGCTGCCTACAGCATCGGGAGAAAGATTAGGTTTCAGCACTACAAAGCTATGGCCAGCATGAGAAAATTTAGAATTTACACTCAATTTTTAATAATTTTATATATGTACAAAACAAGATTCTTAATATGGGCACATGTATATGCACAGACACACACCAGATATCACTGCCATGAATGGTAAGCAGAAAACTCGTTCAAAACTCAAAGATAAGCACAGAATTCAGTCAGATCCCAAATGGTAAGCATAGAACTCGCACGGAACCCGAATGGTAAGCACAGAACTCGCACAGAACATGAATGGTAAGCACAGAACTTGCTCAAAACCCAAATGGTAAGCACAGAACTCACACAGAACCCGAATGGTAAAAACAGAATTCACTCAGAACCTGAATGGTAAGCACAGAACCTGAATGGTACTCTTAGAACTTGCTCAAAACCCGAATGGTAAACACAGAATTTGCACAGAACCTGAATGATATGCACATAATTTGCACAGAATCCGAATGGTAAGCACAGAACTCGCTCAGAACCCAAATGGTAAGCACAAAACCTGAATGATAAGCACAGAACTTGCTTAGGCTGGCGTACCAAGCCAGAGTGCCAGCAAACCAACTTTTTCCTTAGGGTATCTTGTCCATGCTCCTCTGATCTGGACCGAATTCAGACATCGGGTTCCAATAATCTCAAAATACAAAACAGTTGCAACAAGTTTGTTTTCTTTTTTTGTTTTACTAATTCATCCATGTGACTGAGGTCATTAGTGATGTATCATTATTTGTTTAAGCAGCATTGCCTGTGCACATGAGCAGCCTCTGCAGTTGAATGTACAGTATCATAGCGTCCAACTTGCCGAGTCCCATATCTTTGTGTTTATCCCACTTGCTCACACAGCCTGTTATTGAAATAACTATGAAACTCACTGGATGAGTGTGTTTGGTTAATTGATGTATTTAAACTGCAAGTCACTTGCTATGACACCTAAAGCCGCTAGTTACTGATAAAGACCTTTCAAATCTCACAGGAAAATGTAAGAGCTGATTATAAACTGATATGTTGCTCAGAAGAGATGCAGACAGAGACAGGCCCCCAAGGGGAGTGTGTTTACTTGGTTGGGGGGGGGGTGGGGGGGGAGTATAGCTGGGGGGTTTAACCCGATTTAATCACAGGCAGCAGTCCAGGGGCTCCTGTAATTGTATATTAGCTTTGAGAATGCATGGGGGGTCTCCTTCTAGGGACCACAGAAACCATTTGTATTTCTGTGGTCCCAACTGAGCCTCATCAGGAATGTTTGGCCATGAAAAGCCAAAGGGCCTTAACTTCAACTTTCAAAATTCATGTTCTGTAATGAAAAACAAAATGCCTGTCATGCTTAAAATGCCATTCTTTGCAGTATAGGGAGCCTCAATAAATCCAGTTACTGCACAATGAAAAGAAACCGTATCCATAATGCAATTAAGTGGGCAATTCAGGCCGTAAATGCATTAGCAGCTACGAATACTTCTTGTAAATTGTGCACATGGCATTTAAAGGTTTAGTTTCATTTGGGTATGGGGGGTAGGGACACGTGAGGGCTGTGGGCCTTTGGAGGGGGTGGGGGGTTCAGGGCTCATTTCATCCCTATCGATGTTGAAACCAAACCTACGGCCTCGAGTTGACTGAAATATAAAAAGGTAAATTTCCATAAATGTTGGCAGCAGAAATCACAGAGCCTGAGTAATGTACAGATTTTGATGTGGGCAATGTTTATACAGAATATGACTTCTTTTCTACTCGGGTGTTGAAGCCATTGCAGCTTAGTGTGTGTGCATATGTCTGTGTAAAAGAGTTAGGAAACTCAAAGGTTATAAAAGCTGGAAAATGACATTCTGTCCGTGCAATTCTTTTTCAACTCTGTGGCCCTGGGCAAGGCCCCTGTGAATTGGTCCTGCAGGCCAAGTTCCCTGTGAATTGGGCCCCGGTAGGTCAGGTCCTGCAGTGCAGGTTCCATGTCAATTGGGCCCCGGTAAGCCAGGTCCTGCAGTCCGGGTTCCCTGTGAATAGGGCCCCCGTAAGCCAGGTCCTGCAGTCCGGGTTCCCTGTGAATTGGGCCCCAGTAGGTCAGGTCCTGCAGTGCAGGTTCCCTGTGAATT